CCAAGGTTATGCAGCCAGTAATGGTGCAGAATGGGATTGCAAAACCAGGATTTCTGAGTCCCTGCTCAGTGTTAGATTTTATATTTAATAACTTGGGGCACCACCTTCTATGTGCTCAGCCTGCCTTTAACCTCAGCCACAGCCATGGCAGCCCGTCTTGCACAGGGATAACCTGCAGTGCCTCATGCAGCCCAATGGCATAAGGGGGTCTTCCGACAGAGTGACACTGGCCTGACACACATGCAATGTCTCAAGTGCCAGAGTTCATTATGTCACTGCAAGAAGCTGGTAAATAAGTTTTTCCTTCCCATTCTTTGGGACAATTCTGGAACATGTCTGGTAGCTCCTCAGAAAGTACCAGTGGAATCAAGTTCATGACCCACATTGGTAGCCTGCTCAATTATTTCTCTCTTCCAGTCCCACTTCTTGTTCCCTAGAACCACTTCCCCCCCCGCCCCACCAAAAAAATGTCTCAGTTTCTGCTCTTTGGAGGGAACCCAGAGGCAAAATAAGTATACTATGTCACACTTTAAAAGTGGCAGCAGAGTTTATCAAATGAGAATGATTTGTTTTTATTTGAGAAAACTTTTAAATGGGCTCTGTGGGTTTTCAAAGGCAAGGCTTAGAGTCTAATCTGGAAGAAAAACCATCAGCTATGGGAAGCACCCAGCAATGTAAAATGTAAGTGTTTTGTATGGGCAGAGATGTTATTCTGATATTAACTAAGCGGAATTATCTCCAAACTTCAACAGTTCTCTGATGTTATTTATTTTACGGCTGTTTTAAGGCCAGGCCTTAGGGAGGACCTAAGTGTTTAGACAGAAAGAAGCAAAGAAAGGAAACTCTGATGTGGGTGAGGGCGTGGACCCCAGAAAAGTGACAGGACACCTACATCTAAGGAAAGAAATGGCCAGAGGGATCGCCTGAGATGGAGCATGACCGACACACGTCATGACTAGCAGCACTTGCTCCGGAGCTGTCTGTGTGGTGTGGCTCTTGGGCTCTCTGCAAATCTTTAGAAAAGCTGCTTAACCATGGCAGCTCAGTGTGACTCTTAAGATAAACTGGGGAATGGAGGAAGGGGCTGTGTCTGTACCTGGGGAGGAGAAGGGAGGGTCAAAGGGCACAGCCTACAGAAACGCTACCTGGAAAGCAAGTGGCAACAACAGATTTTGTAGTAGTAGCAGTCCAGAGTGAGAAGTGACAGACAATGAGTGTCACATCTAAGCACTACCAGGAATCCACATAATAATTCAGTGGCAAGTGTTCCTATACTTAACAAGAAATAAATTTGAATTGTTTTATGTAAATATTGAAGATCAAAACAGGAGAACCTGAGAAGATTTTTATCAACATATACGAGCATGGAGTTAAAGAAATGGGCAGGGTGTTTGTTACTCAGACATTTCATGTAAGTCCCTGAGTATTCATTTGTTCCTTAAATATTTGTTAGATATCCATTATGTGTCAGGTACTATTCTAGGCATTGGGGGAAACAGCAGGGAACAAAACAGAAGAAAGATACAACTTATATTCTACAGAGGGAAAATAGAAAAAAAATTACTAAAAATATGGAGTCTATTGGACATAAAAGAGGGAAAGAGAACAGGAGTGTTCCGGAAGTGGAGCAATAGGAAGGGCACTATGTCTGTCTTTCTTGAGAAAGAGCAAGTTTTGTGGATTTAGCCTATACATCCAAAGTGTTACTAGTTATGAACTAACCTTGGGATAATTATTGAAATCATTTTCTGTTTTGTGTGGTAGAGATGAGGAACCCCAGTTGAGAAAGACAGGAGAGGTATGGATAAAAAACAGATCCTAAACCTAGTTTATTTTGTTTTATTTTGGGTGGTAGTTGTTTATTTTTTAAGACATTCAAACCACCTATATTGGTGGCTGTTATTATGGGATAATTATACTAAGAAACAGCAAGACAATTTGGCCTCTACAATTTGTTTGGTTTTGACTAAATATTTGCCTTGGAAGAAGTATGTGTACAATATTCATTTAAAAAGATATAACAGTCACCTCGTTACTGTCCTTGGAGTTTTGCTGGAGGCTTGAATGAGACTGAAACCACCTGGACACCATCAGAAGCTACACCAAGGAGCAAGAAGGTAAGTCCATTCTGTCCTTGACACTTCATTTTGATTTAGTTACTTCGTTTTGAGGCTTTGGCCATCCCCACAGGCTGGAGATTCTCCTATTGCCTAATACTAGCAAATATGCTTATAAAATGTACTTGAAAATGTTGACAATGTCTTATAAGCTTTCCCATTTGAGTCATTTTGTCCATCTGCTCTGTATTGTTGCACTGTTCCTGTCCAGTGCCCATGGCTATTTCTCAGGAGGTGTGGCCCACCTCATGTTCTACCTTTCCTGGAATAGACTTTGTTCATTCAAAAAGATTTTAGTACCACCCCCCTGCCGCAATGAAATAAGATATTGAGAAAGCCTTCATGAATTGTAGCCAAAATCATTGGTGAAAGGTTGATGGGAAATTTTATAATGGATGGATGCAGACTGACATCACCTGGGAAGGCACTCATTGATCAACCCAATATATATGCGTATTGGTGTGATGCAATAGGAAGCACACAGCACCACCTATGAGTCTTATTGACTACAAATTCAAATCATAATCTAATCAAGTATCTAGATCTAACTGGTGTGCAAGTTAAACCATATCATGAGGTAGTAATTAACCACATACACTCCTCAGAATAAAAATAACTGGCTACTCAGATTAAAAGTGGAGAAGAGGAGTTCTTATAAAATAAAAGGAAATTAAGAGAAATAATAATCAAATGCAATCATGGTGTAAGTTCCATAGAGTTCTTTCCAAAGTGGATATTTTAGACATTGGAATGGCCACAAACCAGTATGTCCAAGCAAAGCTTCTTAGCATGGTTTCCCGGTATCTCCCTCCCTGCAAGACATGTCTTATCTAGTTTTATTTAGAATTCTGCTTTCTCTCCTCTCATGATCTCTTTTAACTAAAATCCTGACTGTCATTGAGTGATGACTTAATCTTTGTTATGAAAACACCTCTTGTGACTAATAAAATAAACACGACAACAGCGTCCTTCAGTGCTTCAGTCCTGGAGAAAATGTTGTAGAACTGGCCTGGTAACACAGTTTCCAAGAAAACTCAAAAATGCCTCATAGTATTTTCAAACCTTGGCAACCAAATTAGGGCTTTGGAGATTTTTAACACACTACATCCACACCCACACCATAACTCATTCCAGCTCCCCGTCTAGAAACCCAGCTTTGGGTTGGCATCTGAAACTGGACTTATCATCCTAACCTCATGCCCAAGAGCGTACGTGTTACAGATTAATAACTAGCCATTGGACCTGGAGTAGCACCATTTTGTCTTCCTGCGTATGGATTTGGTCACTTCCTAGAAAACCCAAGAAACTTGAAGAACTAGTGATATTTCACAAAAAAATTATACTCTGAACATGGTTATATTCAGCCCATAATTTGTGCTAAGTTTTCTGACACAGAACTGTATCAGCAAAGAGTCTAATGCATAGCTTAAAATGGTTGATTCAAGACTAAATCAGCAACACTAATTTCTTGCAATGCTAGTTACATATGGTTGCATTAATAATCCCTTCTCAGAAATCCAGCTGAGAATCATTATTTAATGAAAGGCTTACAAATTGCATCCTATTTAATGGCTTTCATTGCAGACTCTTTTGTAGAAATGCAGAACACATGTAAGTGACCATGTAAATTCTATGCTGCACTTGCAATGAGCTGGTGAATTTTATTTATGTATACATAAAATATATATGTGTGTGTATAATGCATATATAGGTGTATATTACAGATACATATATACCTATGTACAATGATATGTGTACTATATATTATAATATATAATATAATGTACAGAGACAATATTTATATAGGATGTATACATATGTTAAATATATACGTCAAGAGATCATTCTGATTGGTAGTTTCTAAATTCATAAGTTCAAGGGATACATTAAGAGAGATAGATTGAGGGGCACTAATAAAAAAAGAAAAAAAAGAGATTATTAATAGAATTTGAGTTTTCATATTTAACTATCCTAGATTTGAACACTGGCTATGCCATTCACTAAATGTATGTCTTTAACCAATTTTACTCTCTAATCTTTAGTTTCCTTATCTTTAAGATAACAATAACAATATCTACTCCCCAGAATGTTGTTATAAAGATAAAATGAAAAAAGCAAAATCAAGCAAAGTACTTAACATAGTGTCTTGCACAGAATACGAGCTCAATAAACATTAGCTCTGTTTCTAATGTAAAAACAACAAAAAGAAGAATCATAGTTTATTACAGAATAAACTGCAGAGTTTATGAATTTGCAATTACCGAGGAGTTGAACCTAAGTGGGGAAATGAACCAAAGATCTGTGAGTCGTCTGGAGACAGATGGTAAAGGGAAAGAAGTTTGTGAAGGCATTCATATTTAAGCAATAATACGTTAGAATTTTTCTTTAAGGCCAAGATATACTATTAATACTACCTGATTCTAATTATATATATGGTTATATAATTTGTGATTCTTATATACCATAATATATATTATTTTTTATCTTTTTGGTACTTCATTAACTAAATTGTCTTAGTTAACTAAATAGCGAGTTTTCAGATAGAACACTATAATTTAATAACTCCATATTTCTTGCACTTGAAAAGCTAACAGAAAAAAATTAAGAGATTTTTCAGAGCCTTGTATACCTAAAACTTTGAATTTGGATTTTCTTTCACCAAAAAACAGACAAAAATAATTTGGCACAAGCAGAATTATTAACTTAAGTATTTGGGTGTAAACATTTTTCAAAGTAGCCACATTTCAGTGAACAGTCTGAGATTAAACCAATAAACCCTCTGGACAGAATGTCAAAAGGCAAAGCCCCCAGATACTCAGTCAAGAAAGTAATCCAATTTCTCTGAAAGGTTTCCAAATGGAACCAGAGTTAGAGAAATCCCATGTAGTAGAATCCTTATTAGTACAAAAATTGTGGCTATGACACCTGGCTACTTCATTAATTATTTTGATTCTATTAAAGCGATTTTTAATTTTTTTAAGGAAGGAGGAGAGTTGACTGATTTTCTATTTCATTAATTTTCATTTGGCCTAAATATTCTTAATATACTTATCTTTCTAATTTTTTACCAACATCAATAATAGTCATGGTTTTATCTATTTTATAGAATGCTTTCCCATAGATTATATTTTTAACTACCATTATGGCCTTCAAGCTACATATTGTTGGCCTAATTTCAAAAATAAAATAAAATAAAATGAGGCTGAGAAATCACACGACTCGTCCAGATTTTCACAGTTCATAAGTAGCAACTCCAGATATGTCCCCACCCAAGCATCTCCTCTCTGCAGAATTGTCTGGGGGTGTGGACATGCATTCTTCATATGTTAGGTATTCTAAAATCAGAAGTGAGTTGACGACAGGCTTTCTTCCTTTAAGAAGGAAAAAAGTGGTTTATAATATTCTTAATTAGGAGTGAAAAAAAAATATGCCCCACAGAAAGACCCTGGCTGATTCTAGCTCCTGCTCAGTGGATTTGAAATAAGCTAAATCCAGAGGAAGCTGTAGCAATTGAAAGAAGCCATGAGCTCTCCATTTAAACCAGGAGTTCAGTGTCCATCTCTGCTGTCAGAAATTTGAAGAACATTCACATTTTCCATGTGCATTATCAATAGCTACTTCAATATGTCTAAACTATCTGTCACTGTAGCACCGAGGTAATTAGTCAGAGGTGCTCAGGCACTGCATTATTTGACCATCATTTCCATGGAGCACAGTCAGCCATACCATTTGTCATTATTTTGATGGGCTTCTTACCATTTAAATAACTAAAGGGAAAAATTACAATTTCCTCTAAATTCATTTGTAGTCACTTTCACAAATAATTTTTGGCCATGGTCATCATACTGAACATTGGCTGTGTGTCAACTAAATCCTTGGAGATAATTTCAGATCAATTGAAGATCCTAGTTAATTTTCCAGAGGCAATTCTGAGAACTCTTTCCTTTTCCAAGTACTTTTTTAGATGTGGGAACTTACTTGCAAATACACTTATTCTATTGGTTCTTTTCTGATTGCATTATCTATGATAATGAGAAAATGACTATCTATCTATGATAAAGAGAAAATGACTCCTAGGTGATCATAAACCATTGTGATTAGGTTTGGGGTCTGCTCTTTGTATAGGCACCAGAGGAGGAAATATATATATGAAAATTTAGGGATGTTTAATCTAGGACAGGGGTTGGAAAATTAAAAACCACCAAATTGTTTTATAAATAAAGTTATATTGTATCATAGTCATGCTCACGCATTTGCATATTATCTATGGCCACTTTTACTCTATAATGGTTAATATAGGGTAAGTAGCTAAGTAGTTGTGAAAGAGACTACACAGAGCAAAAAAAACCTTGAAAAACTTAAAATATTTACTAACTGCCCCTTTAAGAAAAAGTTTGCAGATCCCTGATCTAGAGGGAACTTTGGTTGCTGGCAATAGTTTAAAAAAAATTAAAAATAAAAAGACTTGTTTTAGCTGGCTTTCTTTTAGCCAGAAATCTAACATTTCTTCTCATCTCAGGATCATTATTGATGATCACAGTGATGTCCATGAGGTACTGAAAAGGCTTGAGTCACCTTCTGAATCAGCAAAGACCAGATCCCACTCACTCTGGGTCTCTGTTGTCCAGATTCATAGTCTTAAAACTGAAAGAGACCTTCAACATCATCTTTCACAAAAAAATGGAAGCCTCTTCTACTCTATGCCTCACACATGGTCTTTCAGTCTCAAGCCATAGACCCAAGGGAAGCAGGAGAATGGCTTCACACCATCTCCGTACTACTTTGTAGCAGCTCTGACTCTTTTACGTGGCTTGTTTTTCCCCCACAGGGAGTTAATATCTCTTTCCTTAGCTCTCACTTGCCCTATTATAATATTTTGATGGTTAATAAATGATAAATGATATATCTGTATATCTGAACTTTTTATTAACCAGAATACTAATTAAACAGATCGTTGCATCCTTCCACTCTGTTTATCATAGTAGATGAAGTTGGTCTTGAGTAACAGGTACAGGTTTTGGAATCAGAGAGATCTGTATTCAACTTCTGGTCTCCCCACCAAAAAATGGTGTGTCCACAGACAACTTGCTTTAACTGCTCTGAGCATACATTTCCTCATTTGCTAAATGGGGAAAAAAAAACAAGAGAATCTGAAAGAAGGTATCTACAGGGTCCAGCACGGTGCCTAACATTAAGGCACTATTAGTAGTAGTGGAAAGTAGCAGGCATTGTAAATACACTGTGGGCAAACATGTAAGTACCAGAGCATTCCAAGCCCCCAAACATACACCAGAGGCAGCACTGGGAACATCTTAGGAACTAAAGAGTATGCTATATTTAAGATTTTCTTTAAAAAGTCTACCATTACCTAATGTATATCACAAATATTCCAGGGCAAGGATTAATCTCTCTATGCCACTATATAGAACTAAGAGCTTAGAGCTTGTTTTTAGCTGGTGAAGATCCCCAAGGATTAAGCGTATAAACATTAGACATTATAAATGTATACGAAACAATACATCAAGAAACATATTTACCTTTTCAATTCAGAAAAAAACAAGTTATGCAAATAAAGGAAATTGCTAACCCAACAAGAGCCAGATTATCAGAGTGTCTGTCTCTCTTATTTGGAATGACTATGTTTTGTGAGATCTAGCCTTGTCTGGAGAGTCTGATTTTAATATGGCAATTCTCTCCTATTCTTGGTTCTTCTGTTTAAGGCAACATATTGAATCTCTTGGGAGAAACTCTTCCTGTCTCTGTTCAATTGCAAACATGAGGGTGCACATTCTCAGCTACATATGCTCAGGTCCGAGTTTCCAAGGAAACAAGGGACTGCTCATCTATCTGCAAAAATGAACTGACGAATCACTTTCAGCCAGTTACAAACCTTGATTTCAAATCAAATTCCAGTGTGGAGTCTAAAAATTGTCAATGTCTTGTCATTTCTGCCTGGCAAACCCTGGATGCTACGACGCTGGCAGTTGGGCAGGCATTCGCTGAGTTATGCACTGTGATTTTTTTCCTCTGCACTGTTAGTGAAATAGCATCAGTGAGAGCCAACTCCATACTGCACTCCTGTGACAATGGCCTTCAATCCTTTCTACTGGAAAAGACAGACAGGGTCATGTGCATGTGCACTGGTCACAGGCCAACCATATGGGAGGGAGCACAGTGGTCAGCTCTCGCAGCGGCTACTAGTGCTCAGATTCACACTGGGCAAAGCAAAAAGCAACAGAACAACCAACTTCCCAACTTCCATTGGCATTCAAATCCTAGTGGTTGATAGCATTTCTGAAGTTCTTGAATATAGGACTTCCTGCCCATTCTTTAGCATGTATTGAGTGAAGTACTTTAGATGTGTTACATCTAATAATCACAATAAATGTTGAGGTGGATACCATTACTATTTTCATTCTCTAGAACTGAGGCACAGAGTGGTTAAATAATTTCCCAAAGGTCACACAGTTTGTAAGCAATAAAGCTATGATTTGAACCCAAACTGTGTCACCTCAAACTGACTCCCTTAACACTTTATTCCATCTTATATAATACTGGCCATTCTGTTTTCCTCTCAGTTTCAAATTAGTATACCCATTCATTTGTTCATTCATTCATTTATTCCACAAACACATACCAGGCACCTATGCTAGGCTCTGTGGATATAGTAGCCAACAAGAGAGACAAGGTCTCTCAAGGACCTTACATTTTGTAGAGGAGACAAAAAGCAAACAAGTAAACAAGCACAAACAATGTAGAGACTGTGATATAATCCCAGCAAAGGAAATCAACACTTTAGTAGGAGAAGATTAATTGAGAAAAGACTCTGGCATGTTCAAGGTACATTCACGGTGTAGAGAGAGACAAGATGAAGCAGAGGTGGAGAGACCAGATCATGCTGGACCATGGAGAGCAGATGGCATTTTACTCTAAGTGAGGTGATAAGTCAATGAAGAATTTTAATCATACTTAAAGTAGAACTATCTTTTTTTCCTATCATAAAGAAACTACATAGGGAGGTATGAAATATACCTATGTTCCAGAGATAGAAAAATTCATACAATCCCCAGCCCCAATTATATTTCTCTGGGAAGACTTTAATTACATATATGAAACATACATCAATGTTCTGGGAAGACTAAAATCAGCTCTCTTTATTATTTATTGATTTATTGATTTGTGGTTAATGAGAAAGTTAGACTGAAGGAAGAAAGTACCCTAAAGTGCAAGAGTATGACTGCACAAGAGGGCGGGCAGGGGGGACCTGTTGAACAGGCACCAGCCTAAAGTGGGTATCCACGAGTGGCTCAGTATGACCCTCCAGCCCTGTCACCACACCTGGACCCACCCCAGGGAATCCAACTCACCTCTATAGAAAACCCCTAGACTCCATTGGACAAAGTCTTATTTTGTTTTACATCTGTATGTCTGTGCCTAGTATAACATAGGTTTTCCATAACATTTGTGAAAAAAGGGAAGTATAAAAGGAAGAATAAAGGGAAGGGGGAGAGCAGGAGGGAGGAAAAGAGAAAGGTAAAAGAAAGGGGCACTCTTTGTTACAGTCTGACATCTTTATCTCTTGGTTTTTCATCTTCTTAACTGTTTCGTTATTCTCAGTATTCCCCAACCCATCTTCCTGGGATAAAAAAAAAAAAAAAATCCCAAAATGACACTTCCAAAAGATTAATATTTTCATTTCAACATTTCTGAAAGTATTTCAATGAAATTGCTTTCAAATGGTTTATTTTATATTAGATCATTGAGAGATAGATTAATGTCATAAACGTAGGTACTAGCGAGCAATATTTTTGTCTCCTATGTGCACATACTGTATATTTCATATCCTCTGATAACTTAAAGTCACTAATTTAAGTCAAATTAGGGGAAGGGCAGTACAGTAATTGCTATATTTGCGGCTCTTTCTTGATAACAAATGAGGCCTTTTTTCCCCCCTCCACTGTTATATAAGAGTGTGCTCTTTCTTTGGCTAAGACATAATAGCACTGCTCTACACGAACAAAAATATTTTTACTGGCTATGTTATTACTGAGAAATGCATTGGGAAAATGTAAAAATATTTCACCTTTATGTTGGAGAAAATAAACACAGTGGATTAAATAAAATTTTCACAGCTCTTGACATGCACCATATGTAACATTTGGTAAACATCAAAGAAGAGGCTTTGGCTTCTGAGAATCACAGACTCTGGAACTGGGGGTGGGAAAAATCTTGTATGTATTTACTGGTCCTCTACTTCACCCCACCCCAGCAATCTGGGCAAATGGAACCTAAAGAAATTGAAGGACAATCCTAAGTTAACATAATGAATCGAAGAGTCAGGATCAGAACCCTTGTTATTTCAGACCCAGCCCAGTGTAGACCCGTTACAGAAGTCTGCCTGATGCCTCATTGCAAGGTATTGGGAGCCAGCATCCATGAGGGGAGCCCGGGTTTTGAAATCAGGACTGCTGGGCTTCGATTTCTCACCTGGACACTGACTACCTCTGTGAGCCTATCTAAGCCTGAGCGTTCTCTGTAAAAAGGAGATTTAATAGTGTCAACCTCAAACATTTGTTCGAATATCAAGTGAAATAGTTAACTTAAAACACTGGTACAGTGTAAGTGCTAAATAAATGTCATCTATTACTACTATTATTAGCATCCTTATTAATTATTATTATTATTCCAAAGTGTGACACATGAAACCCTTACTTTTGCTGGTAACTTTCAAACACTCTTGTTTAGTAAAATGGAAATGCCAAGTTCCTATATACAAACATAAAACTCTGCTCGTCAATCTTTTAATTGTCTAACTCTAATAATCTAAATATTAAGTATACTTCTTGACAATTTTTCAAATTCTAATAGATTCAAAAATATGTTACTAAGGTAAGAACTGTACAGAGTGAACAAGAAGTGACCCTTCCCATAAGAGACTTGGAGTCTAGTGGGAAAGACAGATATGAATATCCAAGAGGCTTCTAAAAGAGAGAGTGGGGCATTCCGCTGTAAGATAAGTGACAAAGGGGCTTTGGGAACAGAGTGGGGAGAAGGCAGTCAGGCTGAGGAAAGCAAGAAAGACTTCGCAGATGAGAAAGCCTTGAAAGGATGTGGAAATTGGAGGCTATGATGTAGGCAGAGATGCACGCAGCAGGTCCTCTGCATTCCAGGCAGCTCCAAGCTGTGCCTCCTGGGATTGTGTAAAAGCCCACGCTCCTCAGAAACGAGGGGAGATTGACAAATACTGAAGAGCGCTGTGTGGCAAAGCCGCAGCGTTGGGGAGTGGGAAGACTGGAGCCAAGCGAATAATGACACTGGAAAGGTGGGTTTGACCCGCAAGAGCATCAGTGTGAGATGTACATATTCTGGAGCCAGACCACAGGAATCCCAGCCTGGCCTCTCTGGAGCTGTGCAGCCTTGGCAAATCACTCAACCTCTCTGTGCTTCAGTTTCCTTATTGGTAACATGGGAATAGTAGTGGTGCCTATCTCCTAGAGTGGTTGTAAGAATTAAATAAGTTAGTACCTAGAAAGCACTTAGACCAGTGCCTGAGTTATAGCTAGAGTTCAGTAATTGTTACCTCTCATCATGGCTGTCATCATCATCATCACTCTCGCCATTGGGGATCTTTAGACATCATGTTGGAGATCGAAGATCTACAGAACAAACAGTCATCTAAGAATACTACTTTGTGAAGATGACTTTGGTGGACCCTAGTGAACTGACGTCAAAAATGTACATGACTTTTAACTATCACCAGAAATATAGAAAATTTAGGTTACAGGAAAGAAACATCAGTTTGCCTGGTAAATTAAAGATCTGTGTTATAGTCCAGTACAAGTTTTGTTGGTATTTTTTACTTTTCAACTATGTAAGTGGTAGATAAATGAATTCTGCTCATAAAGATACAATTAGAGAAGCAAACAGACTGAAAAGTGAAAGTTCCCCTCATCTTTCTACCTCTCAGCTCCCACGTTCACTCCTGTCTCATTCACAGTTTAGGATTTAGACTAGTCTTCCAGGCTTGTTTCTATACATTTATAATTACAAGGTACATATAACTTCTAAGCTTTTTTCAAACTACCCATTTTTTAAAAAAATTTCCTTTCATTTAATAATATGTTTAAAGATCTTTACATCTTTACACGTAGTACAATAGATCTATCTCATCCTCATTTTGCAGGGTGGAGACAGGGTCTCGCTCTGTCACCCAGGCTGGAGTACAGTAGCACAACCATAGGTTACTGTAACCTGAACTCCTGGGCTCAAGCGATCCTCCCACCTCAGCATCCTGAGTAGCTGGGACTACAGGTGCGTGTCACCACGCCTGGCTTATCTCATCCCTTTTAACTGCTGTATAATATCCCAAATTTGACTATTCCTTACCTTGCTTCATTAATTATTCTATTCAAGAACATTAAGGTTATTTCCCACTTATCACTTGTATAAACAAGGATACAGTGCACTGTTCTACATATATTTATATACACATACATGGTTAGGTATCTCTGTAGGGCAGATACTCGTAAAGGGAATTGCTGCCCAAAAGAATATATCTTTATATTTTGATAGACTCTGCTGAGTTGGTCTCTGAAGAGTTGGTACCAATTTACAGAACCATCAAAAAAGTGTGGGAATTCTTTAATATTTGAAATCTTAAAAGCAGTAATCAGGTTCAAATTTCAGACTATTGATACAATTGATTTATGACTCTAGATCAATGGATTTTAAACTTTTGGGTGTCAAACACCCATGGAGAGTCTGATAAAAGTTACGGATTCTGTGTAAAGATAAAAGTTCACAAGCACAAATATACTGAACTCTCACCTTTCAGTGGCTATTTTGTAGTCCCCAAAAGCTACACTCTAGAGATTAAGAGTCTCTATTCTGGACAAATCAAAAGTTATGCATCTATGGGTATAATGAGG